TGCAGTCCATGGCCCCTACCATTAGAATAAACAACAGGATTTCCCAGCCACATCAAGAACAATTCTGGACTGGCCAAAAAGAAAACAAATAAAAAAGACTTGTAACTGTTACTTTGTCTCTCTAGACGTTCAATTTGAAAACAAGTATCTTGAATGGTCTCTAACATTTCTTCTAATATTAACATTCTGGAATTCTAAAGTCAAGCTATTTAGCTACTATATATCAGGATTCAAAAATTCTGTACAAGTTACTCTTCGTGTCCTAATTATGTACAATTTTCTGCAATTTAACTGAAATCTTCTCTTTTATCCTAATGCAAACAAAGATCAGCTGGTTCTCATGTTCCAGAAACTGTAAAACGCCTCATGTTCAGTATTTATGGAGCATTATCACCTCTGCGTTCCCATCTCAGGATCAACATTCCTTTATTGAATCATCACATGCAGAAAGCTCACTCTCTCAGGGCTCTTTGACAGTAGGTAATGATGTATTCTGTGTGTTGTTTGGTGTTCAGTATATTGTGGAGATCAAACAAATATTAAAACAACAAGCAGCACAACCATATTACTACTAAAATACTTTCAGTTTTGGAGACAGCGGTTGTTTTGAACTCAGACAAAAATCTCCTGCTCACTCACATGACTTTTTTTTATTTTTTGGTCTGGAAATGCTACAAGTATTTTAGCTAAATAACAGACCATTTTAAAATAAATACTTCCAGAAGAATAGGAGCAATTGCTTTCCTTGAAGAGTGGTTAGCTTTTAGTTCATAGACATGATTTTTGTTGACTCAGTCTGCATTTGTTTTAAACAGCCACTTTCAGGCCCTGGTGGGTAAAGCTGAGCTAATACTCCTCATGGAAAGTTTTACAAACACACAGTCACCCAAACACAATACGCTTCAGCAGAGGACTCCCACTCCAACAGATGTTCCTCACCAGGAGGAAGGAAGGGAAGTTAGTTTTCCAAATGGAGCAGGATGGTCCACGAAGGGATCGTAACCAGATTCAGAAAAGAGGTTTCCAAATCTAGTTCAACTCAGAAAAATATCATGAGCCTTGCTTCTCTCATACTATGTATGATAATGGTAATCACAGCAGGGACCCAAGGCACAGCACTCATAAACTCATTTGATGCCTAGGTGCCAGTACTTTAGATAATTATTTCATTTCCTCCTCACAGTAACTCTTTGAGGCATATATGATCTCTATTTTAGAGTTGAAGAAAACTAGATTGCAAAAAGGAAAAGCAACTTGTCTAAAGTAAGCTGCCAATAACTGACTTCAAGTCCAGGTTTAACTTCAGAGAAGTAAATTGACTTTAATACAGATTCAAGCCAGAAAAAATACAGGCCAATTTTGAAGAAAAACTGCTGCTGCAAGTCCAAATATTAACCAATACTGAAAAGAGCATTTAGACCAATAATGACTTGCCTTAAGAATGGAAAGCTGGCTGGGGTGCGATGGCTCACGCCTGTAATCCCAGCACTTTGTGAAGCTGAGGTAGGTGGATGACTTGAGGTCAGGAGTTTGAGACCAGCCTGGCAAACATGGAGAAATCCCGTCTCTACTAAAAATACAAAAATTAGCCGGGTGTGGTGGCACACACCTGTTATCCCAGCTACTCAGGAGGCTGAGGCAGGAGAATTACTAGAAACTGGGAGGTGGAGGTTACAGTGAGCCAAGATCACACCATTGTACTCCAGCTTGAGTGACAGAGTGAGACTCTGTCTCAAAAAAAAAAAAAAGAAAAAGAAAAAGAAAAAAAACGGGAAGCTGGTAATACCAGGGTCAAGGAGTAATGGACAAGACAGGTGCTACAATCCTCAACCACATCCCATTCACTATAGTCTTTTTTTCTCTCTTTCCCCTTCTCCAGTTTTCCATCTCTTTCTTTTCCCATATCCTTCTTTTTCTTTTTGTACTGTAGCATAGTGTTGAATACGAACTTTGCAGTCAGATGATCCTGTGTTCAAATCTAGAACTCACATCTTACTGTGTAACTTTGGCAGATCATATAACTTCTCTAAGCCTAAATTTCCTCCACTATAAAAGGGGGATACAATCCTCTATCTTTTAGGGTGTTGAAGAAATTATATGAAATATACATAAAGAAGGCCAGGCGCAGTGGCTCACGCCTGTAATCCCAGCACTTTGGGAGGCCGAGGTGGGCAGATCACGAGGTCAGGAGATTGAGACCATCCTGGCTAACACAGTGAAACCCCGTCTCTACTAAAAATACAACAACAAAAAAATCAGCCGGGCGTGGTGGTGGGCGCCTGTAGTCCCAGCTACTCGGGAGGCTGAGGCAGGAGGATGGTGTGAACCTAGGAGGCAGAGCTTGCAGTGAGCCGAGATTGTGCCACTGCACTCCAGCCTGGGCAACAGAGTGAGACTCCGTCTCAAAACACACACACACACACACACACACACACATATAAAGAGATGATCAGATCACTGGTAGGCTAAATGGTATTTTTTTTTTTTTTGAGAGTCAGTGAGGTTTAGTGGAAATGACATAAAATTTAGAGTTAAACAGTCTTGAATTTGAATTCTTGCTCCACCACTTACTGGCAAGTCTTATCAACTTTCTATGCCTCAGTTTCCTTATCTATAAAATGGAGTAAATAATATAGATCTAATAGAATGTGAATGAAGTGATAAACATTTACAATTGTATCTGGCTACCAATAGGCATTTAAAAAATAAAGCTGCCTCTCAGTAGAACTTGCAGTAGCTGACTTGTCCTCTAGTAGTCCCCAACTGGTGACACCTGATCTATTTACTCAGGCATATCACCACTAAGGACCAAGAAGTGCCAAAGCACTAAGAAATTTTAACTTTGAACCTCTTTTGAGGCTGTAAAGTAATATAAAAAGACAGAGAATGATACAATGCTATGAAAAGACCACCATAAGGAAGTCTGGGTCTGTTCCAGCTTGAGCACTAACCACCTGTATAATGTCATAAGTTACATGGCCAGATCTGTAACATATGAGGGTTGGCCTAGATTAGTGGCTAATGTCCGGACTTTTTTTTTTTTTAAGATGGAGTCTCGCTGTGTTGCCCTAGCTAGAATGCACTGGTACGATCTCGGCTCACTGCAATCACCACTTCCCGGGTTAAAGCAATTCTCCTGCCTCAGCAGCCCGAGTACCTCGGATTACAGGCATGAGCCATCATGCCTGGCTATTTTTTGTATCTTTAATAGACAGGGTTTCACCACGTTGGTCAGGCTGGTCTCAAACTCCTGACCTCAGGTGATCCACCTGCCTCAGCCTCCCAAACTGCTAGGATTACAGGCGTGAGCCACCGCGTCCAGCCTGGACATGTTTTTTTTATTGGCACAATTGGGGACTGCTACTGGTATTAAGTGGGTAGAGGCCGGGAATGCTGCTAAACATTATACAATGCACAGTACAGACCCCCACAACAAAGAATTATATGGTCAAAATGTCAATAGCACTGAGATCAACAAACTCTGGCCTAGATGACTAATAAGTTATCTTCAAACTCTAACATACTAAGAGGCTATGACAAGGCAGCACTGATACAGTTTGTATATCTGTCCCCTCCAAATCTCATGTTAAAATGTGACCCCCGATGCTGGAGGTGGAGCCTGGTGAGAAGTGTTTGGGTCATGGAGACAGATCCCTCACGAGTGGCCTGGTCCCCTCTCCACAGTAATGAGTGTGTTCTCACTCTATTAGTTCACACCGGAGCTGTTTAAGAGAGTGACCTCCCTCCCATCTCTCTCAGGCGCGTGTGCTTTTTCTCTCCCTCTCGCTGTGACATGACTGTCTCCTTCCCCTTCTGTTACAACTGGATGCTCTCTGAACCCTCAGCAACTGCAGATACTGGCACAATGCTTTCTTACAGCCTGCAGAATTGTGAGCCAAATAAATCTCTTTTCTTTATAAATTACTAAGCCTCAGGTATTCCTTTATAACACCACAAAACAGATTAACACAAGCACCAACATTGATTAGGTGACGTTCTTATCAACATCTATCTCTGAATGGCTTCTTAAGATGTTGCTCTAAATCCCCCTAAAGTCAGATATTTAGATACTCCCTCCATATCCACTAAGAGAAATTTAGATATTTCCCTCAGATATTTTGATATCTGAAATCAGTGCCATATTACTGAGCAGTCTTTCCTTTGTAACAAGAAGAAACCTAGGGATGAAAGACACACTGTACTCCAAGCACTTGGTCTTTCATCCTTTACAGTCAGAATCCATGCTTCCAAAGCCATGAGATTCCTTTTGGGAGAGCAGATAATTTAAATAAATACGAATTAAGAAGGTCAGGTGTGGTGGCTCACGCCTGTAATACCCAGTACTTTGGGAGGCCAACACAGGCAGATTGCTTGAGCCCAGGAGTTCAAGACCAGCCTGAGCAACACAGTGAGACCACATCTCTACAAAAACTACAAAACTTAGCCGGGCATGGTGGCACACATCTGTACTCCCAGCTACTCAGGAGGCTGAGGTGGGAGGATCACTTAAGTTCGGGAGGTTGAGGCTGCAGTGAGTTGTGACTGTGCCACCCTACTCCAGCCTGAGTGACAGAGTGAGATCTAGTCTCCAAAAAAAAAAAGAAGAATTAAGGTTAGAAGATGTGACACACACAAAGTAAAGATGAATCTTGGCCAGGTGCGATGGCTCATGCCTGTAATCCTAGCACTTTGGGAGTCCAAAGCAGGTGGATCACAAGGTCAGGAGTTCAAAACCAGCCCGGCCAACATGGTAAAATCCCGTCTCCACTAAAAATACAAAAATTAGCTGGGCGTGGTGGCAGGTGCCTGTAATCCCAGCTACTCAGGAGGCAGAGGCAGGAGACTCACTTGAAACCAGAAGGCGGAGGTTGCAGTGAGCCATGATCACACCACTGCACTCCAGCCTAGGCAACAAGAATGAAACTCCATCTTAAAAAAAAAAAAAGAATCTCAAATACATCATGCGAAGTGAAAGAAGCCAGATTCAAACAACTACATACTGTTTGATTCCATTTATATGACGTTCTGGAACTGATGAAACTGTAGGGACAGAAAATAGATCAGTAATTGCCAGGGGCTGAGGAAATAGACTATAAAAGAGCATGAAGCAATTTCTGGGATGATAGACTATTTTGTATATTGATTATAGTGTCAGTTACACACATGAGTGGTGGCTCATGCCTATAATCGCAACATTTTAGGAGGCCAAGGCGGGAGGATTGCTTGAGTCCAGGAGTTCAAGACCAGCCTGGACAATATAGCAAGACCCTATCTCTATTAAAAAAAAAATAATAAATAATTGTTTAAAAAAAAGGTAAATGTTTTACTATACCTAAATTATACTTCAACAGACTGACCCCTCCCCTCAAAATCTGATCACTAATGCTGTGGAGAGCTGGATGTGGTGGCTCACACCTGTAATCCCAGCACTTTGGGAGGCCGAGGTGGACCACTTGAAGTCAGGAGTTCGAGACCAGCCTGGCCAATATGGTGAAACCCCGTCTCTACTAAAAATACAAAAATCAGTTGGGCGTGGTGGTGCACGCTTGTAGTCCCAGCTACTCGGGAGGCTGAGGCACAAGAATCACTTGAACCCAGGAGGCAGAGGTTGCAGTGAGCCAAGATTGTGCCACTGCACTCCAGCTTGGGTGACTAAGACTCTATTCCCCACGCCCCTCCCCAAAAAAATGCTGTGGAGAGGATAAACTGGATTACATCCAAATTCTTTTCCACCCCAAGTCCTAAGATTGTATGGATTCCACCTTTCCTACCCATAGTGGCCTCAGAGCCATAGTGATTACGGTTAAATCTGGGCTCCAATTTCTGTGTTAAAGCAAAGAGCCCCTCTGATTGTATCATGTAGATATGAGTCCTGCCACCATTCCACGACCTCTGGCTCCACTCCAGCTTGTGACAGAGGTTCCCTTCCTTCTCTTTCCTATCCTAACTCCTCTTAGGACTGATGAGGGACTCAGACAATTAATAAACAAGCCAGAAGAAACCTCAGGAGACACTGGTTTTATCTCTCTGCACAGGCTTCCTGTCTGGATCTCATTTGATCTTTCCACTAAATTTCAAATCAGGCAAAAGAAAAATCACATTTATGAATCTCCCTCCTCTATGGCCTTTTGGGCTTTCACTAGATTTTTATACAGTTAAGGCACGTAAATGTAAAATACGGGCCTCACAACCAAACTGATACTCAAGCTTATTGATACTAATACACACATACACACACACACAAACATATAAAATTTTAACACATTCACACACCCCTTCCAAGACGACTGATTTATCAAATGTTATACAAAATAGTTAATTATTCTTACATACAGAACAGCCACACATATGCCATGGCCAGGGAGGTCTCAAACAGCTATCAGAATGCTCATATTCTCTGCTAATGGAAAGGCCACTGTCTATGCCACAAATCTAGCCACAACTGTGGACTGTTATAGGAGTCCCATCTTTCTTACTGAAAGTCAGTTACTTTGCTGGTTCTTCTTGGAGGAGCTCAAGGGAATGGTTACAAACACTAGTAACCAGATGCCTCACACACACTTGAGTGCTGAGATATAAAATCAAGGGCTAGCCTGGCGTGGTGACTCATGCCTGTAATCCTAGCACTTTGGGAAGCTGAGGTGGGTGGATCACCTGAGGTCAGGAGTTCAACACCAGCCTGACCAACATGGAGAAACCTCGTCTCTACTAAAAATACAAAATTAGCCAGGCATGGTGGCGCATGCCTGTAATCCCAGCTACTTGGGAGGCTGAGGCAGGAGAATCACTTCAACCCAGAAGGCAGAAGTTGCAGTGAGCTGAGATGGTGCCATTGCACCCCAGGCTGGGCAACAAGAGCAAAACTCCATCCCCCGCCTAAAAAAATAATAAAAAAATAAAAATAAAAAAATAAATCAAGGGCCACAAGACAAGCCTAGACCTGCCCCTGTCCTCGTATTCAAAAGGACAGAGAAGACTCAGTGGAGGGCAGGTAATGTCCACACTGCCCTTTTCTACTGAGCATTAACAGCAAACACATTAGGACTACAAAGGTGAGATGCTTACATAACAGAAGAGGCCCACTGTGACAGCAAATCCCACAGTGGTCTAGGGTCGTATTTCTGTGTGTTCCTTTCAGAAGGGAAGAATGGGGTAATTTAGAAATACTTAAATTTAGAAATATCTAAATCAGTGATTTAGAAATATTCAATCATCTTCAGAAGTCTACAACAGCAAAAAATCAGTCCTATCTCCTCTGAGTCACTCGGACTTGATAATGTTGTTCCTTTGACATAATTATTAAAAGCTTTATAGCTGGGTGCAGTGACTCATGCCTATAATTCCAGCACTTTGGGAGGCTGAGGTGGGATAATTGCTTGAGCCAAGGAGTTCAAGACCAGTCTGGGCAACATGATGAAAACCTGTCTCTACAAAAAATACAAAAATTAGCTGGGCATAGGGGCACACACCTGTAGTCCCAGCTACTGAGGAGGCTGTGGTGGGAAGATCACTTTCAGCCCAGAAGGCAGAGGCTGAAGTGAGCTGAGATTATGCTGCATTCCAGCCTGGGCAACAGAGCAAGATCATCTCCCCCACCCACCGCCCCCAAAAAAAAGTTTTACAAAAGACTGAAATACTTGTCAGAAAACATACTTTGGCTTTTTATTCAAAGTTATATAGAATCCTAGGCAATGATAATCCAGGTTCCCCCAAAATATTTATATTTCCAATAGTATTTCCCAAGGATATATTCCCATAGTCTTTTCTTTCATATGTGATATGATGATAATGAACCATGAAAGGCCAAGTAAATGGCTTTCCCAATTTTAGGTTTGGACTTTTGCAAAGCACCCTGATAGCTTCTGGGGCAAGGGCTACCGTCTGTGGCCACCGAAGCGAATGCGGCAAGGCTTACTGGCCGTGATGTGGACTGGGTACATGGCTTTTAACAGTGCTCAAACCCAAACAACACTGCTGCTTCAGAGAAACAGAGAGGTCCTGTAGACCCACTGGCCAGACCTGCTGCTGCCCTGGAAACTTGAAAGAGAGCTAAGCAGAACCACAGGACACATGACAGGTGACCAACAGGCTCAGCTGGCAAAGCCTTGGCTGCTCAAACAGCAGATCGATAGATTCACCTGCCTCCTACCTACCTTGCAGGCTGGCTTACTAGCTATCTAGCCCTTTCCTACTCTGCTTAGGAGGACAAGTACAAGCTTAAGGTTCAAAGAAGATACTAGCCTCTATAATTCCCTTGTGCTGCACATAATACACGGCCATTCACCTATCATAGGAGCAGGACACTACCTGAACTAACTTATAGCCCCCTGAATCATGAGGAGGCTCAAACTTAAATGGACACTAACCAACTTAGATGTCCTGGGCAAGCAGTCTTTTCCCACCTTCTTTGTTCTTTCTGGAAGTGATAACTCTCACTACCATTTCTCAGACCAAAACATCATTAGTTTCAGACCAAAGTATCATAAGAAATAGCCAGGACTCAGATTTCATGTAAATTTCCCAATGAATATCCAGTTATGAAGAAATGAGGAATACACAATAAGATTACATTTGAAATAAGCTTCTTTTGTTAATGTTACCATGAAAATGATTCCTTGAAAAGGCCACTGGTTTCTTGATGTATTGAAGTTTCTTCCTTTTGAAAATCTGTTGGTTATTTTGACATTTTCTTAAAGTACCAATTAGAGTACTTCCAATCTGTACAACTGTGCTATAATAACCTTGAGAAGTATCTTTATAATAAACATCTTAAACATTATACACAAAAAAAGAACTGAAGAGAGTGAAAGAAAAATGATAAATGATATTACCACATCTTGAGATGCATACTGGGGATCCTCTGGGTTGACTGACCAGTAGCAGTAATCAAAGCCAAACGCCATAACCTTCTCCCGGGAGTCCCCAAAGCCATCTGGTCGACTGTCCACCTAAAATCAAACATAGGATCCAGTGTCTTTCTATCATAATATTAGAATTTGGCCAGTGGCACTTGATCACCCTCTACCATAGCTAGAGAGACTTGGACTGGTCATGAGACTGTTTATATTATCTTCCTGAAAAAGAAAAGGTAAACTTTGTCTCCATCTTATTAGATACAAATAAAACACAGAGAACTAAATTTGTCTGTCATCCTATCATATATCTGCCTACATAAGAACCAACTATATGAGACATGGTAAAGCTTGGGAGAGAAAGCCTCTCCCGCTCTGGGCATCTTCTTATCACTACAGGTTGAATGTCCCTTCTTTGAAATGCTCGGGACCAGAAGCGTTTTGGATTTTTTTGGATTTCAGAGTTTTTTGGATTTCTGAATATTTATATATACATAATGAGATATCTGGGGGATGAATCCAAGTCTAAACATGAAATCCTTTTATGTTTCATATACACTTTATAAACATAGCTTGAAGATAAATTTATACATTTTTGTGCATAAAACAGTTTTGTGCATAAAATAATTTTGTGCATAAAACAGTTTTGGCTGCAACCCATCACATGAAACCAGCTGTGAAACTTTCCACTCGTGGCGTCATGTCAGCATTCAAAAAGCTTCAGATTTTGAAGGATTTCAGATTTCAAATTTCCAAATTAAGATGCTCAACCTATATTCTTTTCTAAGTATTTCTGCAGAGGATCCTGGAGTGTGTGAGTAGTGTGGCCATGGTGCCTGACGGGCTCCATCAACCTGGGGCTTTCACTGAGATTCCTGGAATATACAACCTTCAATTAGACACCACATTGGACAGAAGAGCCAGAAGCAATCTAGCTGCTCAAGGTAGATGAGAGTAGAGCCAGAGTTTGGCCTTGCACTGACCTCCAGGTACTGGAGAGAATGGCGTTATTCACAAAAATGCCTTATTTTATACACTCTGGATGGGGAAAGACAACCCTGACACCAGCCATCACAAATGACAGAAGAATGAGGCTGCCAGAATGATTAAGAGATTCTACATGGATAACTGACCTCAGGGAAGTAAGCAGCCAGGGAGGTGTGCAGAAGGCAGATTAAAGTTTGACTAATTCTTAGAAACAAAAACATGAGATCTTAGAACAAAGCAGCTGAAGTGATTAGGCAACAGAGATATAAATAAGAGACAGCGAAGAATAAAAGGTCCTTTGTCCCTGGGGAGCCCTGTTGAAAGTCTGGTAGGTCCCCATTGTTTTTTAGCAGAGAACTACTGACAAGAGGAAACAGATCACATCACAGGAGTAACAAGAGAGCAGGCATGACTGTGAAGACTGGGGTCCAAATAACTCTCACTTTTGCCAGTTTCCTCAGCTCTCAGGAATGCTGAGTGCCACCTGCAAGCTGACTATAGCAATAGTCACATGGTCAGCTTCCCCAGTCTCTCTCCACTCCTCAAGGCCCAGAAAGAAAGAAACCTCTCCATCTTCTGTTTGCCTAGTAAATGGAGGAACAGGATGGAGAAAATTAGCCCTAAGGGAGACTGAGGGGTATGGAAGGAAGTTCCAAGTGTCTGTCCAGCCATTACTCAAAGTTCAGTCAGATCTGTGAAAGAGAATTTGTAACAAAACCCAGGTTAGTGACTGACTCCCTTCTGGGATCTGAAAGATGTTGCTTGGATCTCAGTATAGCTAAAATAAACCCTGCATTACCAGGTGCATACTAAAAACCCTAATAATGTCTCTAGATAAAGTGGTATCAACTGAAAAGATTAGCACACAGTTTAACTGGTCAGGTGAGTTAAATAGCATATGGATTGCCTGCAGCATGATTTAACTATTGCCCCCAAAACATCCCGAGTTTACTTTCAAAACATCTACCAACTAATTTCCCAAACAGTTGCACCCTATTTGATAAAACTTAGGCTGCAGCAGCCAAATGCCCTGCACTTCCTTCTTGATTTTATTTATTTTATTTTTATTTATTTATTTTGAGACACAGTCTTGCTCTGTCACCCAGGCTGGAGTTCAGTGGCGTGATCTCAGCTCACTGCAAGCTCCGCCTCCCGGGTTCATGCCATTCTCCTGTCTCAGCCTCCCGAGTAGCTGGGACTACAGGCGTGCACCACCACGCCCGGCTAATTTTTTGTATTTTTAGTAGAGACGGAGTTTCTCCACGTTAGCCAGGATGGTCTCGATCTCCTGACCTCGTGATCCGCCTGCCTCGGCCTCCCAAAGTTCTGGGATTACAGGCGTGAGCCACTGCGCCCGGCCACCTTCTTGATTTCTTAATTTGCTTTATGATTGGCACAAGCTCTTCCCACCATTCCCCTTATATACCCTTCCCTCCCCAACTCTCAACACATTCACATATACACCTTCAGCCTGGAAGCCCCTGTAGCAATGTTAGCTCCTCAGTGGAAAGAAAATGAAAAACAATTTCAGGCTTACCTTTAAATTCCTGATTTTCGCCACTTTGCCATCAACTTCCACAATAATTCTTCCCCCTTCTTTGGTCTCCCTAGAAACAAGACCCAAACTCAGAAGAAATGTTGCTTTTCTTCTTAAATCAAGAAAAAAGAAGCTGAAACCAGTGCTAGTGGGACAAAATATTTCCCTACTGCTGTACCCTTAAGAGAAGTGTCTGTCTCCATAAATGGCTGTAAGTGTCACGTCAAGCAATCCCCTAGCTGGCAGGCTTCCCTGGATCTTTCAATTTGGCTCTGGAACAGCTCACGTTCACATTTCGTACCTTCTAGGTGTGAGGCACTGTATTAGGTGCACTACATATTGTTCTTCATCTTATGCTATCCTCCTACATACCCTCCTGACATAGTTTGCTAACATATCATTTTTACAGGCAGAGGACTAAAGCTGAGAGAAATTATGTAACTTGTCCAAGGTCACACAGCTATCAGTGGCAGAGCTAGGATTTAAACTCATATTTGTCTGACCACGAAGCCTAGGCTCTGAATTACACCTTAAAGTCAGGCTTAGAAACCCTAGAGAGTGTAGGGAGCAGTGGCTTGCACATATAATCCCAACTACTTGCAAGACTGAGAGGCAGGAGGATTGCTTGAGCCCAGGAGTTCAAGGGTGCAGCAAGCTATGATCACGATACTGCACCCCAGCCTGAGTGACAGAGCAAGATCTCATCTCTCAAAAGAAACTCCAGAGAGCATCCTTGGCCCAGCATATAACACAGCATCATCTCTCATTTTCCGTAGCATTTTGAGCATGGATATTGACAAAAAAAAAAAAAAAAGTATTGGAATCCTCTCTGCTGAGACCCTGAGAATATATTTCTCAAATTCTTTCCTTATATCTTCTTAAATTAGAAGGAGGGCCAAGATCCTCAAGAATCTTCCTACGTTGCAGTTATCTGGTAATACTGCTAACAACTAAACAATCTCTACACTCACTTTAATGGGCTTAATCCAGATGACCCACACACCTGATGCCTATCTTTTTTCATAATATAAAAAGTCACAGCTAAAGTACTCATGACCAAAATGTTAACAGATGAGAATTAAATTAAATAGTACATCCTCCACCACAATGAAAGTTATCAATTAAATTACTCCTAGCCTAGAACCTGAAAGTTGAGACAATACCTTCAGTCTTATTTTTTATCCTTCCTCAGGCTTCCCAGGCTGTGACCTAGAGAACTAGGGGTAGGAGAAGCACAGTGAGACCGGGGTCTTTAGATTTAATTTTATTTACTGATTTATTTAGAGACAGGATCTCACTCTGTTGCCCAGGCTGGAGTGCAGTGGTGCAATCATAGCTCACTGCAGCCTCAATCTCCTGGGCGTAAGCATTTCTTCCACCTCAACTTCCCAAGTAGCCAGGATTACAAGCACGTGCCACCATGCCCAGCTAATTTTTATTTTTTGTTGACAGAGATTGGTATTGAACTTCTGGGTTCAGGCGATTCTCCTGCCTCAGTCTCCGAAAGTGCTGGGATTACAGGCGTAAGAAACAGTGCCTGACCCCTTGTAAAACTTTAAAAAACCAGACAGCCAAGCACAGGGGTCTGAGCAATAAAAATTGTTGTATTGTTTTATCAAATGTTCATAAAAATCATTGAAGTAGTTATCCCTATTTACAGACTTAAACAAAAACAAAAATAGTTATATAGGCTTCCTGTCATCGTCGTCGCCGCCGCTGCTGAGGCTGGAAGATCCACAGGCAGGGGTGTAGCGGGACGAGGGAACCAGAGGAAGCCAGCGAGGAGCGCGCAGAGCACGCTTTTCCGCCCGCCCGAGGGGCCGGAGCAGACTGGCCCGGCGCCGCCGCCTACCCGCCACACAAAGCCCAGAGCCCGCGTCCACAGCCATGTCCTCCTCCGCCGGCAGCGGCCATCCGCCCAGCCAGAGCCGCGCCTTCCCCACCCACACCGTGGTCATCAGTTATGCCGCGCAGCTACCTCATGACCACTGCACGACACCCGAGGGGACGCTCTTCACCACACCAGGAGGAACTCAAATCATTTATGATAGAAAGTTTCTGTTGGATCTTCGCAGTTCTCCCATGGCTAGGACCCCACCCTGCCATCTGCCCAATATCCCAGGAGTCACTAGCCCTGGCACCTTAAGTGAAGGCTCCAAAGTAGAAGTCAGTAATTTGAACAACCCTGACAAGAAACATGCAGTTGGGGGTGGTGCCAGTTGGAGATGGACATCTGACTCTCCTGCAAGGATTAGAAGAAAAGCAGCAACAGGGACACCTGAATGCACCTGATTTGGCCAATAGGATCAACAGTGAAAAGACCGAAGAGGCAATACCAGCAGTCCCCATTACATTCTCCACCTCTCACTCCTCTGGGTGCCAAATGATGATAGGAAGATAAGCTTCATCTGACCATTTCTTCTCCCTGTCTCCTGTTCCCCTTCCCAGTTAAACAAGTTAGATTGAAGGCCCTTGGTGTATTTTCTGTAGAGCTAAGCATCCCTTAGAGGAAAACAGTTAAACTCTGGCTTTCCTAGTTTTCTTTTTTTTTTTTTTTTTTTTTTTTAGACGAAGTCTTGCCCTGTCTCCCAGGCTGGAGTGCAGTGGCATGATCTCGGCTCACTGCAACCTCCGCCTCCCCGGGTTCAAGCGATTCTCCTGCCTCAGCCTTCCGAGTAGCTGGGACTACAGGTGTGTGCCACCACACCGGGCTAACTTTTTGTATTTCTAGTAGAGACAGGGTTTCACCATATTGGCCAGGCTGGTCTCTAACTCCTGACCTTGTGATCTGCCTGCCTCGGCCTCCCAAAGTGCTGGGATTACAGGCGTGAGCCACCGTGCCCGGCCTCCTAGGCTCTCCTTTATTGAGTTACCCTCATACCCCGCAATTTTGTCCCAAACCCAATATCAACCTACAACTGCCTGGCTTGTTGTTGTTGTGCTTGGGAAGAAATGGGGAAGTCTGGGGAAAGGATACAGAGGCTTGGTGGGCCTAACACCATTCATGTTCCTTACCCTCTGCCTCTCCTCCCTGTATCCCACCTATGGTTCAGTGCTGCAAGATTCTGGACTTGAGTCTTTAAAACCAGCAGGGGGAAATGATAAGAAGAGAGCTGCTTTTCCTTTTTACCTTCAGGTATTTGTCCCTTGGGACAGAGCACAGTTTGTGCAACTCTGGTAGCATTACCCTGGGACACTGTTTTGAGGTCCACTTCCCTTCTTTCCTCTGGGAGGAATGTCTTCTGTCTTTGGTATTACAGTTCATCTTCCCATTCTTTTACTTAGCACGTTTGTGCAGTCATTTTTAACTCTGTACATCAGAAGAGAGCCCTTGGTAACCAGTCTTGCTCTTCTTCTGCCATTCCTCCCTGCCTGCATCTTGTTGCTGGCAGAGTCCTCTTGTACTTCAAGAAAGCCAAGTGATTTTGTCGGCTCCTAGAGCAGGTCCATAGCAAGTAATAGAGGCACTTTGGCCTCCACTTGGTGGGTAAGGCCTGATCATAGTATCGTGTCAGATAATGCCTAAGAATGACCTCTGAAGAGCATTGGCCCATTTGAGTACCCAGTCTCAGTAGTCATTTTTAAGTCCAGTTAGCAGTGTGATAGCTGTTCTCAGATTGCAGTTCCTTATGTTTTGAGTTTGAAGTCGATTTTCACAATGTTCTTAGAAAATAACTGCATTTTTTTCCCTTTGTGGATCTGCTTTGTTTGGCTGCTGATAGATAAGCATGGGCTTAAAAGTGTTCCTCCCAGTTTTCTTGCCTTTCCTATCATACTCTGAATTTCCCTCCCTACCTCCCTCTCTCCTTCCTTTCCTTCCTTTTTCTCTACCTGGCCATTTTTCAAATTTACATCAAAGATACCTCAAGTGTTAGCATCTGAGAATATCTGTCACTCCTCTTATCTGAGAAGTGACCTTTTATTTTTAAGATGACTACAGACCTATTTTTAAATATGTTTTCAGTACCATTTTGAACAGCAACTTTCTAATTAAACATCTTCCAGTGTTAGGAAGGTGAGAAATGTTCATAGGCGAGTCTGCTGTTCTATGTCACCATCTTTTGTTTCTCCTCATCTCTCAGGAGCTCTTTCCTTTCCCCTCCAGTTTTGGGTGTGCATGTTTGGAGTTCATAGTGGGTGGTTTTTAAAACTGGACCATTCTGCCTTGTTATGGGTTGTTTGTGAAAGACTCATTCTTTTCTCTGACCTTTTAGCTTTTGCATTCCCACCTACCTCTCCTGGGACTATTGACAGGCACAACAATCCCAGGAGAATGACTCCCCTCATAGAAAGACTAAAGCATCCATCCCCTCATAGTTAAGTAGCCACTGGTGTCCTGGGAATTTCTGGTTGGATTTGGTGTCCTGAACTTTCTTAGAAATCAGATCCCAGGGTGAGAGTCACAGGCCATTTGGCCACGAAAGAAACCTGTTTGTTTTCCTTTTGAACTATGAAAAGACCCTGTTTGTGAACACATTTTAGAAAGAAGAGAGGATGTCTGCAGAACTTTGTTCTGTTTTCTGCTACAAAAGTGTGAATAGTTCAGAGTGAAAACCTTTTGTGATGGCTGTCTCTCAGGAATAAGCTGGATTGCCAATGTTTTGGGGATGCTTCGAGTCTCAAAAATTGATAATCAGAAAAGTATCTTTTGTTTGTTTAATGTATCCCTGTTCTGATTTTAATTAAACTCCAAATCTCATTTTACATATTCTTCGAAAAACTTTTTTAAAAAGCTATACAGTGGGTTAAGAGTAAGTTTTGAAGGGCAAATAGTCTTCTAGAGCCTACAGTATTGGCAGATCAGATGTGTTCTCACAATGGTTAATTGAGGGTAGACAAGGGGCAGCAATTTCATAATGAGGTATGGAATTTCTGATTATGGGAAACTGTGAGGTAGAGGGGAGGACATCAAAACCATTTCCTATACAGCAGTATCATTTTATTGAGGGTCAGGCTGGGTGTGGTGGCTCATGCCTGTAATCTTAGCACTCTGGGAGGCCGTGGCGGGTGTATCACCTGAGGTCAGGAGTTCGAGACCAGCCTGGCCAACATGGTGAAACCCTCTCTCTACTAAAAATACAAAAATTAGCTAGGCATGGTGGCAGACGCCTGTAATCCCAGTTAGGAGACTGGGACAGGAGAATCACTTGAACCCAGGAGGCGGAGGTTCCAGTGAGCTGAGATCGTGCCACTGCACTCCAGCCTGGGTGACAGGAGTGAAACTCCGTCTCAAAAAAGAAAAGAAAAAATTGAGGGTCAACTCTAGTCCTACTGAATAAATGCGCACTTGAGACACAAGTGCAACTTTTCTGTTATCTCAGAAAGAGCAGTAGGTCTAATGAATCAAATCTTGGCTCTAACTACTTTTCTACTTTTAGAACTTAAGCCAACCCATTCTGTCATCTGGAAAAATAAAAAATAGAAGCTTGGGCCAGATTGTCTGTAAGATTTCTTCCCAAGCGCATCAGATCCAATGACTTTGTCAACGGAGTGTGTGCCAATGACTTATTTGAAGGTTGGAACAAACCATATAATCACCAGATTCCCCACATTCAGATAAGCCTCAATGAAGACCGTATAACACACTCTGAAGAATAGCTGCCATCTCTGCAGGATTCTGTGAGAAGAGGGAAGTGATCCGGACCTCTTGGCTAGGGCCACACTGGGTTTATCTGTATCTGCTCCTGAATCTTCAGCCTGCTACAATCTGTTCACACCTGGGTATCTACAGTCTTGACATCCTACCACTTGCTGCTCAAGGCTCTTAACTTGAGCTAAAGTAAATAAATTGTGCTTTTCTTTTTCACTTCAGTTTTGTTTGATATGTTATTCTCTACTGCGGCTGCAAGTAAACCAATTTCAGCATCATTTTCTTAATCTAATTCATGCTATTATAAATTCCTAGTGTTCAGCTGGGCGCGGTGGCTCACACCTGTAATCTCAGCACTTTGGGAGGCCTCAGGTGGGTGGATCACGAGGTCAGGAGATTGAGACCATCCTGCCTAACACGGTGAAACCCCATCTCTACTAAAAATACAAAAAATTAGCAGGGCGTGGTGGCAGGCGCCTATAGTCCCCGCTGTTCAGGAGGCTGAGGCAGGAGAATGGCGTGAATGCCGGAGGCGGAGCTTGCAGTGAGTTGAGATCGTCCACTGTACTCTAGCCTGGGCAACAGAGCCAGACTCTGTCTCAAAAAAATAAAATAAAATAAAATAAATAAAAATTAAAAAATAAATTCCTAGTGTCCAAGGAACTGAGAAGTTACTGTTAGGAGTGGTCAATATTGTTATCTTGAAAACCCTAAAAGAACAGTTTTACAAATACAGAATATACCAGAGGCTACCTCAAGAGTAGCATCTGCACATATGAAAAATCCCCCAGCCCTGAGCTACCACATCCAGTTATGAAGAAGCCAGGTGTCCCACGCCATTTACCAATCAAAACGCAGCAGTTCAGGCATCTGCTTTCCCTCTTTCTTCAGTGTACCTCTTTTGCCCTCTTCCTATTCTCTTTTTCTTTCTTTCCATTTCATTGCTCTTCTCATTAGTCTGTCAATTACAAGACTTTTCAAAGACAATCATTTCCATATGAGGACGAACATAATCCTCACTAGTACCAAATTGTATTATGGGAGACAATGCCTTTCTTAATCCTTCTGCCCAATTATCAAACTATCTTACGTCCTAGAGATTTTTAAACTTGCCAAATAATTCCAACATGTGCCTTCTGGTCCCCCAAAGGACACTCTGCCAGATTTACCTCCCACCATTCACTGCTCTCCACGACAACCACCCCTTCCCCATCAAAACTTAACCTCTAGTTAGTCCCTCACAGTCTAAGTCCTTTGCTCTTGGCGATCTTACTACATAGAAGGCTCTTTACACTCTCTCCACCTGTCAACAAACTCTACTTGATCTTTAAAAAACACTTCATCTGGTGACAAAGAGAAAAAAGTTCGTGGCTGCACACTGGATGTCTCAAGGGCTGAGATGAGAGGTGCGGGATCAAAATAAGCCACGAGGAAACGGGCACTGAGGGCTCTGACAGAAGGAAGGGGTGGAACAACTTCCCCTACTTAACAGTTCCGTCCTGGATTAAGTCAGCTGTCGAACACAGAAAGAAACCGCGACCTGTGTGGGCCTCAATTTCCCCTTCACGCCCTCACAGTCTGCTTTCTCCACATCTTCGCAGAGAAACCCATGCGCACCCAGGAACACACAACACTCAGCCTCAGTCCTCATGGGTACACCCAAGCCCCCCAAAAGAGAGAGGAGAATGCTCATCCCTCTCCCAGGCTTTCTCAAAGGCCCAACCCGATGCCGCGAGCCTCGAGCCGCCGTCCCTCGAAACTCCTGCTGGCAGGACGCCAGCGACGCTCACCCAGGGCAGCCCTCCCGCGGCCGTCCGAGAACCGCTATCCCCAGGACACCACGCGAAAGCTCGACTGAGGTCCCGTCCCGACAGGCCTCCGTGGGTTCCGGACCCCGACCCCCCCGGTCACTTTGTCACCGGTTTCTGCGCGCCAGAATCTCTGGAGCGGGAGACGCTGACCTCCAGCTCTTCTCAGCTCCTGCGAAGCCTCAGGCGCCCCCTCCCGCCCAAACTCACCTCTTGCTGAGCGGCCGGACCCGCACGGCAACCCGCACGTTCGCCATCCGTCTGCCACAACCCAAGTCCAGCAAGTCAGCTCCGCGGCAGCATCCCAGGCCCCCGCCCTAAGCCCAGACCCAGCCCCAACCCAGCCCCGCCCGCCCCACGCGCCTCTGGGGACGCCCCCGCGCGGACGGGAGCTGCCGCCCGAGCGGGGCGGTGCCTGCCTAGCTTCGGCCAATCCTGAGCCCGGTGGGCGGGAGAACTCCCGGCCCCGCCTCCCCTCAATCCTCCTTAAAGTCTCCCGACTCGCCCCCGCCCAAGCACGCGCAGCAGCCGGAGCAGGCAGGTTCCTTCCGAGAGTCGGCCATTCCTTAGCCTGGTGGGCGGGAGGATGCCAGCGCTCGCTCCGCCTCGCTCCACCCGAAGCCTCCCGGGTCGCCCCCGCCCAAGCACGCGCTGCATCCAGAGCCGCGTGGTGCCGGCCTAGCCTTGGCTAGTCGGTGGGTGGGAGGACGCCCGGGCTCGCCCCGCCTCGCTCCGACCCACGGCCTCCTGGGACGCCCCCACCCTTGCGCGTGCCGCGCCAGGCCCATCAGTGCCGGCCCAGCTTCAGCCAATCCTGAGCCGAGTGGGCCGCGAGGACGCAGTGCCAAGTCTGTTGTTCCCGGCTCCGCTTACCCTGAAATAGTTTCTGTTCTTTGACTCGGTGTCCGTGCTATGTAAAGTCAAGTAAATCAATTAAGTTTTGTTCTGAAAGTTTGTAATTTGCTAAATACTTTTATTTTCTGCGTTCGCTTGAACTGTCAATTCTGTGGTTAAATTTTCGAGGCAGGCTGGGTGCGGTGGCTCACACCTGTAATCCCAGCACTTTGGGAGGCTGAGGCCAGATCACCTGAGGTCAAGAGTTCGAGATCAGCCTGACCAACCTGGTGAAACCCCGTTTCTACTGAAAATACAAAAATTAGCCGGGCGTGTTGTCGAGTGCCTGTAATTCCAGCTACTCGGGAGGCTGAGGCAGGAGAATCACTTCAACCCGGGAGGTGGAGGCTGCAGTGAGCCCAGATCAGGCCACTGAACTTCAGCCTGGGCGACAGTGAAACCCCGTCTAAAAAAAATAAAATAAAATAACAGAAGCAGTCTCTTACTGGCAAGGTACTTCCTGACATCGGGGACAAAGCAGAGAGGGAACCAATCCAGAAAAAGGATTATTATCCAGGTCTTCTTGTACAACCGAAAGACAGGTGGCTGGTGTTTATCTTTTCCCTTCAAGGCTTGAGGGTTAGGAGCTGCATAGATGAGGGCAGTGCTGATCATAAACCCAACTGCACAAAATATTAGCCTATCCCTTCCTGACTTAAATCCTGGTGCTTGCTTCTTTTCCTTACTGATAAATGTCCTTTGTGGCATTTGTTTTTCCAGAATAGGGCACTTGCATATGCACCAAAAACCTGTTCAGGCAGATACCCTTTCTTCTCAATCATTTCCTTAATGGTGTCTAGGAACTCATTTGCTCCCTGTTGGTCAGCAGAAGCTGCTTCTTCTGTTATATTGACATATTGTAAACCAAACCTTTCCAAATTTATCAAACCGTCCTTTACTGGCATACAATTGTTTAGCTTTAGATGCTTCACCTTCCTTTTGCTTCAAGTTGTCATATAATGACTTTGCTTGTTCTCAAATCGTATTAGAATATACAGGTATGTTTTCTTCTTTTTTCTTTTTCTTTTTTTTGAGATGGAGTCTCACTCTGTCGCCCAGGCTGGAGTGCAGTGGTGCGATCTCAGCTCACTGAAACCTTCAACTCCCTGCTTCAATCAATCCCCTGCCTCAGCCTCCTGAGTAGCTGGGATTACAGGCGTGTGCCACAACGCCTAGCTAATTTTTTGTATTTTTATTAGAGACGAGGTTTCGCCATGTTGGCCAGACTGGTCTTGTACTCCTGACTTAAGGCAATCCGACCACCTCTGCCTTCCAAAGTATTGGGATTACAGACGTGAGCCACCGCACTAGCCAGGTATGTTTTTCTTACAGCAATCCTGTACCCGCATAAAAGCTGCATTTTGTTTTTTTTGTTGTTGTTGTTGTTTTGTTTTTTTGAGACAGAGTCTTGCTCTGTCGCCCAGGCTGGGGTGCAGTGGCATGATCTTAGCTCACTGCAACCTCTGCCTCCTGGGTTCAAGCGATTCTTCTGCCTCAGTCTCCCAAGTAGCTGGGATTACAGGTGTGCACCACCACGCCCAGCTAATTTTTGTATTTTCAGTAGAGACAGGGTTTCACCATATTGGCCAGGCTGGTCTCAAACTCCTGACCTCAGGTGATCTGCCCACTCCCAAAATGCTGGGATTACAGGTGTGAGTCACTGCACCTGGCCAAAAGCTGCATTTTCAATATGAGATAAAAAGCTATTTCAGGGCCAGGCATGGTGGCTCACGCCTGTAATCCCAGCACTTTGAGTGGCCAAGGTAGGAGTATTGCTTGAGCCTAGTAGTTTGAGACCAGCCTAGGCAAAATCGTGAGACCTCATCTCTACAAAAATTTAAAAAAAAAAAAAAAAAACTATAAAAAAGGTATTTCACAAAAAGCGCAAGGTTTTTGTGCCTGCTGGTGTAGCTGTGGTCATGGTTGCACAATTTTTTAAAATTTTACAATGGGCCTTACAATGGATTCATTTATCTTGAAATGGTAGGCAACCACAGCTGCAGATCTATAGTACATAACAAGCAATTCAACTTTTTCTTGTAATGTCATGACTTTTCTCTGCTTCTTGAGAGCACTTCCAGCATCACTAGTGGCACTTTGTACTGGTCCCCTGATGTTATTCAAGGCTTATGGTATTGCACTGAATATGGTGAAAACACTCAAGAACCTCAAGAGATCACGTTTTATTGTAATACACAGTTTACTGAAGAGAGGAACTGCTCTGATGATTAGCATCACAGAGTTTTAAGCAGATACTGGCAACACTTGACTCACTAAAACAGGAGGCAGTTACAAAATTGCAGTAGTACAGTATGTACTAGTTTATAGAGTTATGTTTTGGGGGGGCATTTTTATTGGCGATCTCTTTTTCAATACAATTTATGCCCTCATACCCATTTCCAGTCTGATTATACAGGTGCTAAGTGGCAGAAAGGTCTGGAATAAATACATTTAAAAAAAAAAAAGAGGCAAAGGTGTGAAACTAAGTTGCATGCAACAGGTTCTATGAAGGTGGGGGAAGTGTGTGAGAAATAAAACAGAGTAAGACAATGTAATTGGAAGGTTTTAGCTAAAGTTCTTTTCGGTCATCTTTGTCTTTTACTCCATGTTTCTTCACAAGCAAGGATGCTTGTGAACTCAATGTAATTGAAATTCCCCTTTTTGTCAATAGGTGCTTCTCTGTACAGCTCATCCACCTCCTCATCTGTAAACTGATCCCCCATGGTTATCAGCAGCTCTCTCAGGTAATCTTCCTGAATGGTGCCTGTTCTTCATCAAAGCAAGCAAAAGCATTTCTGATGACATCTTCAGGATCTGTGCCATTTAACTTCTCACCAAACATGGTGAGGAACATGGTGAAATTAATGGGCCCTGGTGCCTCATTCATCATGGCATCAAGGTATGCATCAGTAGGATTCTTCCCTAGAGAAGTAATCTAATATATCATGCAAATCTTCCTTGTTGATGAAACCATCTCTGTTCTGATCAGTTGTGAAGGCCTCTTTGAACTCCTGAATCTGTGACTGGTCAAACATGGTAAACACACTGGATGTCGCGCACTGAGGGCGCTTCTTGGTGGTCTTGGTCTATGCCTTTTTGCTCGACATGATGGTTGTTTAATTCTGGCACCAAACCCCAGAACCGGGGCCACTCTGTGCAAGATGGTGAGCGACAGCGAAGAGCGCGGGGCTGTGGCCAGACAGTGCCAGCTATGGAGTTATAATTTAATATTGCATTTTAAATTTGCTTACATGTACAGTCTGTGTTTTCATAAAATTTAACTTTTAATAGATTTGTGTATTTTGGAGTAGTAAATGATAGACCAGTATCTACATATATCTTTTGCATTCAAGATATCTGTAGGCCATACAGTTCATCTACGAACTTTTTTTTTGTTTTTGAGACAGAGTTTTGCTCTTGTTGCCCAGGCTGGAGTGCAATGGCACCACCTCAGCTCATTGCAACCTCCACCTCCTGGGTTCGAGCAATTCTCCTGCCTCAGCCTCCCAAGTAGCTGGGATTACAGGCATGTGCCACCATTCCTGGCTAATTTTGTAATTTTCCTAGAGACGGGGTTTCTCCATGTTGGTCAGGCTGGTCTCGAACGCCCAACCTAAGGTGATTACCCGCCCGCCTTGGCCTCCCAAAGTGCTGGGATTACAGGCATGAGCCACTATGCCTGGCCTGTGAATTTTTCAAGTTGTCACAAAGCTCCAAACAAATTTCCAATATATTTATTGAAAAAAAAACAATTGTGGCCCTACACAGTGGCTCACTCCTGTAACCCCAGCACTTTGGGAGGCCGAGGTGCGTGGATCACGAGGTCAAGAGATCGAGACCATCCTGGCCAATATGGTGAAATCCTGTCTCTACTAAAAATACAAAAATTAGCCAGACATGATGGTGTGCACCTATAATCCCAGCTACTCGGGAGGCTGAGGCAGGAGAATTGCTTGAACCCAGGAGGCAGAGGTTGCAGTGAGCTGAGATCACACCACTGCACTCTAGCCTGGTGACAATGAGAGTCTTATCTCAAAAAAAAATAAAATAAAAAATTGCATATACCTGTGCACTTCAAACTTACGTTGTTCAAGGGTCTAATGCATAATTTTTCAGTAAACTCAGTTAGTGGATTCCCCAAATTGTGGAATAAACCTTTTATGTAAATTCATGTGTTTTATAGATATGTGAAGAAATCCCACAATACACTAATTACAGTCTTAATAAAATCTCAACTCTGTTATAGATTTTGCATGTCAAGAAATCCCCAGACTATGTTCCTGACTTCACTGAGGGTTTCAGAGGATAAATCAGGGGTCAGACTGGTAGAGTCACATAGAGAAAGAAAGAAAATAAGAAAAA